GTTCTCAGTCCTCTAAAAACTAATTTTGATAATTAGATATACTTCACAATTCCACAGAAGCAAATTCAGTTATACTTACGAGCATGTTGGGTTCAGTTTTAAATATTTCATGAGAGTTTTTTTAAAACAGTATTTTTGGGTGTATGCAGCTTGTATCAAAATATAAAGCTAAATAATGTGCATCATGAACTGTGTTTTCATTTTAGTTTTCATAATTTCTAGTTTGCAAGAAAAAACCTCTCAAAGCTTCAAGTACTTTTATTTTTGCTGCCTGCTGTTTTTTCCTCATCCAGCAAATATAGATGTATACTTGCAGACCTTGGTAAATTACTACTGCAAAAGAAATACTGTGTCGTCTTGTGATTCTTAATTAGAATGACCCCAGAATGTTAAAAATAGTGCCTCATAATTTAGTGCTAAAACTCAAATTGACACATACGTGACAATAAGTTATGTCCATAAAACCTTAATTAGTATCCTGGAAAGAGTTTATGATAGAATTCTTGTACTACTTTATAATCTGCATTTTGAGGCCATTCTGATTTATAAAACATTGAATTCCCCAACTTGGATGGAGTTTGGAACAGTGTTTATTTTAATAGGCTTTACTTTTGTTTTTTAGAAAGGTAAATGGGAATACGATTCTAGTCAAATAGTGTATATCAGTTTATTTTATTTTCTTTTAGGAGATGTTCATCTACCACTAATAATCTAGATTTAATTTTAGTTATAGTTAGAAATAACTAGTAGCTTGACATTATAGGTGGAAAATTGTATTTAATAAGACTGCATGTACTAATTAATTTATAAATTCTCGTTAACTACAAGTTAAGTTTGTATATGCAGGTGGAGATGCATTTTGCAAATGTCTCTTGTTCAAGAGCAATTATCAAAAAAGGGGAAAGTTTCTATGAATACTGTTGTTAAATTGCTATGTTGTGCTAATTGACTGAAATAACTTATCCCTGTAATGTTCTGTTCTTAAGAGATAAGCTCAGAGACAGACAAATGGCTTCTTAACATACTTTTTTGTGAGAAGAATAGTGTTGTTTAACAAAATAGTATATTTTGCAGGGGTGTTTTTTCACCCTGGCAGGAAGTTACACAAGAATACCAACTGTAAAACTGTTGTGTGTTTTTTGTTTGGTTTTGTTTTCTTGAGCGTTTATGCCATCTCAGATTTATTGCTTTTCTCCCATGCTGGAGTGCCAGAAATTGAAAGCTGCAGAGGGAGAAATGGAGAATCCAAGACAGTAAACACTATGGAGTAGCTTTATGTACTGGGATTATAAGATTTGTTAAATTATTTGGTGGTGTTTTTTTTCTAAATTGAAGGCTAAAACACTTGACCTAAAAGTACTAAAGGGACGTTAACGTGTTATCTTAGAGGTTAGCTGTGTTCTGTAGTAGAATAGTGTCTTATCTGCTTTCAGCACTTCATCTTCCAGGCACATTCAGTTCTCAAACCTGGTGTGGGTGTGTGTCTGTTTCAGGTTGGTTAAAGGTTGTTTGCTCAAGAAGGAACAAGGAGGGAAGGAACCTCAGAAGAGCTTGTTTTCATATATTACAACACTCCAGTTTTTTGAATTGTGCCACCCCATCTTCATTATTCTAATTGTGTTACAGTTGTGTGATTTCATGTGAACCTTAAGTTCTTAATCTTATTACTGCTTCCAGTAATAGTGATTGATACATTTTGTTAATTAGAAAGAAAGACAAAAAAACGTGATCTCCTAGAAAAGAGGGGTGCAGACTATGAAAAAGGCCTAACTGTGAAGTCACTGATGTGGTATTTTCTGTTTTGCACATTCCTTATAAAATAATGAGAATCTTACTTTATTTGCAGGCTAGCAAACCTGAGAAAGTGTTGCCTGTCAATTCCCTGAAGCTTTATATTGGAGTGAAAAAGAAAATGAAGCCACCAACAAAGTAAGAATAGAAAAGAAAATAAGTTAAAGACTTTGTAGCAAGGTACTTGTAGTATAGTCAAAAAAGGGAGCATAAAACATTGTGGAACAAGGAAAAGTCAAGAATCCAATAGCAGTATGCTAAATTAAATTATCCTCTGTAATATTATTTGTTCTGTTCCTATATCTGTTTCCGTGTTCCATGTTAACTCTTCTTTGCTAGGAAATTACTTTATTGATTGGCTTTTCTTAATCTGAAGTGTATTATCTCTTGTGGATATGTTTGCTCCTAGCTCACTTAGTTTTGTGGTATGTGTCCTGCATTTCATTGGTAGACACATGTTCCTTGCATCAAGTCAAGTGAGAGAAGAGAAAACCCACTGGTGCCTTTAGTTAGTGGCAGTTTCTGTTGTTCAGTAGAGGATTTTCCTTTTCCAGGATCCTTGATATTTTGATGTCTCTTCTAGCTGAAGACTACAGTGCCCTTTGCAAACATCAGTGACTATGTCTTTGGCAAAGAGCAGTGAAAAAATGACACCTGTCTTTCTCAGATGTTTCCAGTACTTGTTTGGTCAAATCTTTGAGACACTGAGACAATGCACATAGGATCTTATCCCAGGGGGATTCTAGGTTGGCTGTAGTCTTTAAACAGATCTGCTTGAAGTTCTCCTTTACAGTTGGCACATCAAAACACCAAAAAAAGATCTGTAAATGTCAAAGCTTAGCCACGTTAAAGAAAAAGTTGGTGGGGTTTTTTGTATGTTTTTGGTTTGGTTTTTTTGGTGGGGTTTTTTGTTAAGCACAGAATGAGTAGGAGATTAGTCCAAAATAGGAGTAAAAAAAGATTATGTTAATGAATCTTTACAGGTGGATTTTTTCCTTGAGGCTTATTTTTTGCCTGCTTTCAATAGCAGACTTTGCCAAGTCTTTTCTGGATCTCCAGAAGTGTCTGGGTTTGTTTCATGTCAGAGGTTTCATTGTACTCCATATTTATTTTTCCCCCCCCAGCAACTGATGAATCCCTATAAACTCATGGGATTCCTTTTGTTCATAGTGCAAGCATATGTCTTTCCCCTCTGTGACTTCCACACTATAGTGGACTCTTTATTGGGCAGTTTTACTTCCAGCATCTTTCAGAATGTACAGCCACAGCCAAAATGAAGCAGCATTTGCAGAGCTTGGCAATGACCCTTTGTCCAGAACAAAATGTTCATTACCTGTGCATCAACTGTGAGAAAATGAGCAAAATTCATCCTCAAACCCACAATTCCATTCTAAATTTGCAGTATGCATTTAAACTTTGTAATTTAATTTTATTTTTTTTTCAACTTAAAAACACTATATTAAGGTAATTAATCTCTGAAGTGTGAGAAATTTGTCCCTATCTTGAGTTTATGGAGCTAATTTTTGAAAATTTTCTTTCTTTCAGTTGGGGACTTGCAGTATTTTCTGAAAAACACCAGTGGTAGGTAAACATGAAACTCATGATTGGTTTGACTTTACTGTTTCAAATGCATTTGAAAACTGATGGGTATTATTTTACTTACATGTTGACTTATTGCTATCTTAAGTTAAGTACACCCTCTTAATTCATGTGTTTTGTTAATCCTTTGGGATTAGGTATCTGGTTTCCTTGGGCAGCCAGAAAGCAAACAATAGTCATAAAGTCAGAATGATAGTTTTTAACCCTATGCACCTGTTTGAAATTAAGCATATGCATTGTCTTCAAAGTAGGGTAAAGTGATAGTTTGAAGTATTTATGGTTCCCTCTTTTTTCTGAGAGTGTAATAATAAATATAGGCAGCATGAATGAATGGAAGCATAGTTTGAAGTAGTTTTGAAGCCTATTCTTTAATACGTTTAACTGCAACAGGATTTTTTTGTTGTTTTTCTTGTTAATTATATATTGTGTTCTAGGTATATATGTTGTGATGGACAAGATGTACAGATGGAGTGGATGATCAGCATTTTTACTGCACAGGTACTAATCTGATCAAAGAAATGTTACTTACACTGCTGTTAGAAAAATCTTTTTAAACAACAGTATGTATGTGCTACATATAAGGTTCAAGGCAAAAGTTTCTGGAATACACAATGTCATAAAACTGGCAAAAGATGTGTCTTAGTTTATGGAAACTATGAGCACTTTGACAGTAAGTGAGATGAACAATAGATTCTGGCATCATTGCCCCCACCTCTGTGTTATTGGTAAACTGGTTAAAGAAGGACAACTGATCTCCTTTGCAGAAACCTCTCATGGGTGAAATTCTGGCCATTGACCCAAAGGCTGTGTCAGTGTGCCACAGTGCCTGAGTGCTATTTTTCTGCTCATTAGTTTGAGTGCTGCTAAAGTAGTCATGAAAGAAAGGTGTCCTGTTGAAAAACAGTGTTGGAACTAGCCCTAACCCTAACCCTAACCCTAACCCTAACCCTAACCCTAAGCCCTGTTGAAGAGTTGTGCCAATATGGTTGTATTTCTCTGGTGGTCAGGTTAGCTTAGTTAACACTGACAATTCATTGTATTGGGTAGGCATCATCCTAAATTAAGTCCTCTTCTGCTTGTTACTATATTGTAAAGAGGGTTTATGTTTGAGTACCATATAACACATTCATGGAAATTGAGTTTCATAATTACATAGCAGAAGTGGAAGTAAGAGAGATGGGAAGAATTCAGCCTGACAGGAGATTGGAACATAGTTTAAGGTTTTAAAAGGATTTTGTATTTGTGTCAGATTTGTCTTATCTTTTCCATGACATTCAAGGAGCATTGTGGAATATCACTGTGAATGAAAATCACTAGATTTATCATTACCTGTGAGCTTTACATATTGCATAAAGGGGGCTGGGCACAAGCCTGTTGAAACACATACTTCTTAGAGACTTTCTAAAACAGAATCTGGCCTTCATAGATAGTAGAATTAGAGCTATAATGTATACCTTGTAAGCAAGACTTGGAAATTCTTGTCTTATTCCAGTTCTGTTAACTGAAGTAACTATTGTAGTTTCTATGGAAACAGCCACCGGTCCTGGCATACATCTTGTGGGCATAACATGAGCAGTGTCACAACAAATAGGCTCAGAGGTTATTGATATAGGCTACTTAGAAATAAGTCATACAAACTTGGTAACTGTTGAAGTCCTTTTGATGTAAAATCACAGGAAGGGCAATCTATTAGGATTCTGCTCAGGTAGTATGGGATGTAGAATGTTCCGTTGACAATAGAGATAAAAAATGGAGAGACACTGCTCAATGTTCAGGATATTTTTGCTAACAAAAAAATACAAATAATTTCATGTTCATTAATAAAAAATGTTATGAATTAATACTATTGGGTTTTTTAAATTTTATTCCAAGGAATGAACAGTGCAATCAATTAGCAGTACTAATGAGCTATATTGGGAAGTGTTTTTGGTTTAGCTTGGGTTTTGTGGAATCTGTTGATTTTTTTCTTTTTTTTTTGTTTTTAATCAGCATTCTGGACATCAGTTAAGTTGCCTATAAAATGCATGAGAAATTACATACTAATGATGCAGATTTTCTATATTGTTCTTACTGCAATCTACTGCTTTAGCTTACAGAGGAAATCTCCTTGAGAGTTGTTGGCAAAGCTAGCTGTAAGATGTAAGTTTTATATCATGCAGCAGCAGACAATTATTATCACATTATTCCATTTCTAAACCAGAAAACTGTAAATGTCAACGGAGGTTACTTCTAGATTGAATTTTCAAATTGAGACCATCTTTAGGGAAGACAGCTTGTTTTTTACTGTCTTATCACTGTATTTGAACATGTGTTAGAGAAACTGCAGGGAGCACATTTTATTTGACAGTGGAACAACTTAGATTAGAAGTTGAAAAATACTGTAAAGCAGGTTTTGAAGTGTTAAGAAATTGACATTTAATGATCCTGAGCAATTAGGAGGGACAAAAACTTATGTGACCATGCTCCTCAGTGCTTGAGCAGAGTAAGACTTTATTGGCAATTAATATCAGTGAGACAGTAAAACTGTTCTTATTTTTTTTCTGATAATGTTTATTCCTGTAATATAAATAGTGCAGAACATGTAAAGAGCAAAGTGTAGGTACCACTGTAATCTAGTGGCAAGAGTACTTTTGATAGAGAAGACCAAGTTAGCCCAGGGGTTATTAATGTTCTGTTTGAAGCTGGTAAATACTAAGAGCATTTGAAGGAGGACTATTGTTTCTTCCAGTTCTGTGCAAAATCATCCTGAAAAACATGGTTGTAACTTGATTCTTGAATTCTATAATGGTTCTGTACAAAATCAATTAAGAGCCTGCACAGCATACATTCAGAAGTAATTAATTGATATGAGGATGGACACAATAGTATTCTTCCAGTTCCATTGACTTTGATCAGCTAGAGGCACATTATACTATCATGAGGTGCAGTTGAACAGGTGGGTCAAAACTATGAATAAATACATTTTTTATGTGGCCTAATACGTTGCTAGTATTTCTGATGTACTTTCCCAGAGTTCTATGTTAAGAAATGTTACAGTCACCAAAGGGAAATTTGGCTGCTTAACTGACAGAGATAGTTGCCTTAAGCTTTCTGGGAATTAAGGGAGGCAGTTTTCTTCAGAAGCTGATTAAAGTTTTTCAGTCATTTTCGGGATTGCATTTGTTTCTTGTATCTTGATCCACAATATACTGGTTTTGGGGGGCAGGAGCTGCACTTTCAGGTAATACCTTCTTGGTGCATTGGAATAAAATGTTCTTAATGCTCACTGGGGAGAATTCTTATAAGAGACTTTTACATGACCTTGGTCAGCACCATGTGTGAGAATTTTTTAATCCATAAAGATGAGAATCTATTAAATACTTTTCCTAAATTTAAAATATGAATATAATTTTAAGCCTCTCCCACAATAGGAGGGCATGGTGTTGTGCAGTACATAGCTTTTCTCAAGAGAATTTTACATATCAAATAATGTTGCGTATTTACAAAATTCTACACCAAAAATAAGGAATCATTTTGTTCTTCAGCATGCAGATATATGGCCACCTGCTGGAAAAGCAAGAAAACAGTCCATTACAAAAAGTCCAAAGATTAGAGGCTTACCACTAATTCCCATTCATCAGGAGAAGAACACTTGTAAAATCAGAGGGAATACAGAAGTAAGTGGGGCTTAAACTTGTGTAGAACTTGTAACCACAGTGCTGTAATTTTAATAGTCCAGTAGTAATGAACATCCTAGAGCTGGATAAATATAAAATGTAGAAGTTCTTATTATCAGTGTTTTGTCATTAAAGGAACATTTAGGACAATGAAAAAAGCCATTGGGGACCTAACTGTGTCTCACCTCTTTGGCTGTTTAGTAAATCACTAGTGCATTTTTATTTATGCTTGGGGGTTTTTTGAGCAATGATTATTCATTAGAAGTAACAGGTTTACCTGGAAATATAATGCACTTTGTTACAGTTTTATTTTAATAAGGTCTTTGAAAACCATCCTGCATGCATATTTTACCATTTCTTCTGTCTAAAATAACTGCACTGTTTTAGCTATGTGTTCTGTGAGTATAATGGAAAAGCTCAGATGGAACTAACTGTGATACATTTAAGGTGTATTATTATTAGTCTTAAAGAAGAATAAGAGGGTTTAGTTACAACTCTTTGCAGAGACTGAGCTGTGTCACTGTATTACGTGCACTAGTGATACATTTGAACCATATGATATTAGTTTGAGATGACTTTCTGGGATCCACATAGAGATACTGATGCCTTCCTTGCAGCTGAGATGAAGCAGTATCCACATAGAGATACTGATGCCTGTGGGGAAGACTTACTTGCCTTCCTTGCAGCTGAGATGAAGCAGTGGAGACACTGTTCTGTTTGGGAATAATAATGTTAGCTAATCTGAGTGCTTACTAAATGATACTGTCACAAATTTTGATAATTTAAAAATGACTGCTGTCTCAGCTTTTGAGTAAATTGATTTTTTTTTTATTGTAAACTTCTGTGAAACTAATGAGCAAAAATTTAGGTCTAAATATTTTCGAGTCTTGTGTGAATGTGAATGATCTTATTTCTCTTCTTGCTTCTTTGCTAAGAATATAGAACTGCAATCTGGAAAATCAAGATTTGGTGAACATCATGAAAATGAATTTCTGGAAGCAAGAAAGAACTTGAAAGAAAGAGCATCTATTGTGGCACAGTGTTTGGAAAGGAAGGAGGAGAAGGTGCGAAATCATGCAAAAACATATCGAAGTTTGGCTTCTGTTGAGGCTGGAGATTCAGGCATGACTGACCTACACCAAAGACCACATAAGGCACTGAAGAAAAATAAAAACAAAACAAACAAAACTACTTTGGAATTAGATAAAAAATTGCCATCAAATGTGATTTGGGAACTAAATACAGTGCTGCAGAAGAACAGAGCACTTCATGATGAAACCTCCAGCTGATTTCCTGAGTCCAAAGTTTAATACATATATATATATATGTGTGTGTGTGTGTATTTTCTGTGCAAAAGTGGTCTGTTTTGATGTGTATAGTTTGTACAGTGCAGAGGAAATATAATTTGTTTATATGCAGCTGTTGATTTTTTGTGTGTGCCACGTTATAATTTAAGACTGAACTGAGAGAACTAATTATGTTAAACTACTGAAATTTATAAGTTTTCCTGTACAGTGTAAGGTCACGAGGGTTTTGTCTGTTTGGGGTTTTTTTGTTTCAGATTTTGTTTGATATAATAATTCTTAGCACTGTCAAAAGCTTTTGCTCTGTTAATACTCTGTTCTACCTTGTAAGTACTGGAGAGATATTAAGATATTTTTAGAAAGAAGAAAGATCAACTCTGAAATTCATACTGTTGACCTGCAATATTTTTAATCATCTAACACTATAAAATTAGTAGTAAGATCTGCTTTGAAATTTATTTCAGGAGGGGTTTTTAATTTGTTGTGTTGGGGGTTTTTATTTATTTAAGAGTAAAATTAGTATTTGCTTCCACAGATTTGTCCTCTGGCAGATTGGGATATGAAAGAGTCAAAAGGGAGAGCAATGTAGTAGATGAGACAACCTATTAATTCTTGTGTCTCAAAACTGTGTGTACATCTGATTATTACATCTAAGCAGGAAGAGAGAATACAGAAAAGTCTTCAAAGCAACATCTAATTTTAAAGGTACATGAATTGGAAGAGTAGCATCATCTCTTTTTTTTCAAGGGGCTGAAGTAATTTTACAAACAGGCTTGGTTAGCTCAGGGTGACAAAGGCAGACTTTGCTGTTAGGATAGAGCTTGCATGGTCCTGACAACGTTGCTGGTATCTAATGAATATTTGGTATTCACATGAGAAATTAATTTCCTTAGAAAAAATGGTCCTTACAGAAACAAATCTATCAGAAGAGTACAAACACACTCAATTAAGAAGTGAGGGATACTAAACAGGGGAGGAGATTAACCCCTCTCTTGACCATGAGGAGAAAGCTCTTTGCAGAGACTAGGAGGTGTTTGTGCTACAACTGCAGAAAGACTCTTCTGAGCACCAGGACAGGGCTGAGGGTTGAGATAACAGCCTCATTTGCTGTGTCCTCAGTATATAGGTAGCAGTTCCTGAGCACATGTGATGTAGCACACTGCAAGTACTTTGGTTTTTAAAACTAGAATTCCTTAAATTTAAAAATCAGCACCGCTCTTTAAAATGAAACCTATTCAAGCAATGAAATGATTTGGTTTTTTCCGTTGCTTTGTGGATGATTTCTTCATTTATCCCTCGGGATTGCCTCCTTCCTATCTCATGGCACATCCACTCTACCTTGGCCCATAGCAGCTGGATGGGAAGGCACTGCTGTGCTGAGGCTGTTTCCAGGTGTGCAGGTGCTGTCTAGTTGAGCAGCAGGACCAACAGATCAGAGTGCTAATGAGCTCACATAGCAGCTTTGCTGCAGCAGAGGCATTAACAACAGCATCTGCTTCATTTTGCTGCTGTCCCTTTTGTGATCTGACTAGCCACTCTGCCACAGATTTTCACCAGCCTTTTAAGAACTTATTGATGCCTTGAGTGTGTTTGATTGGAATTGGCCAGATCTCTTAGGATAGAAGAGAGGATTTAAAACTTATTTCTCATTTATTCGAAATTGTTATAAATAGTCTCTTAATTGCTTAAAATTTCAGAGGAAAAAATTCAATTTATCAGCATCAGTGATATTTGATTTTTGTTAATGGGTAGTTTGGAGGATTTTATGGTTTGCTGCTGAATTTCTTCCCATACAGAAGCAGTAGGCTCACTTATTCCCTCTTCTATTTTTGGTAGTCACAGGTGCCGTAACATTTCTCACATCATTTACTTCTATTCTTGATTGCAGTGAGCAGCTTAATTGGAAAAATAATTTGTTTGATTGAAGAAATTAGACAAGTGACTCAAATAATGAATCTGGCAACTCTGCTAGGAAGCACAGAGAAAATGAGATCAAACTAAAATATTTTATAGTTGTATTTATTTTTCTGGAATGTAGCACTGACAAAGCAAGTTTAGTCTTTCAGACTTTGCACTTACCCCATTTGACCAGTTGTTAAATCTGAAACAAGTTTGTAGATTTTAATTTTCCCAGTGCACTATTGACTGTTTTGCTACCTTTAATTTGTAATTGAGCCTCTTCTAATCATTGAGGCCCTGGCTCAAGAAAGCATATCAGCCTGAACTTAAATTGTATTGATTAAATCCGCTGCTTAATGTTAATAAGCACATTCTTAAATGCTGATTTGAATTGGGGCCTTATGCCATCAGGAGAAATTACTTTATTTTCCATCTGAGGCTGGACCTGAATATACTGTTTACAGTTGTGCTTTTATTTGCAGATATTTTTCAGTATTGAGTTATGGTTGCTGTATTGTTTATTTTTTTATTGGGTCCTGAAAAATGACATTCACTTCACTGCCGAAAGCCTCATGCATCATTTAAGCCACTACACTAATGGAATAAATGGAGCAATGGAAGGGTTTTGTGCATTGAAGTGAACATGTCCATGAAGAAAATGTTTTCCGTATTTTTATTGGATCTAAGGACTGCAGAAATACTTGTTCTCCTATCACAGATAAAGTATCTGTACGGATGCTGTTAACAGGTCCTAAAAAATCAAGAAGAAAATATGTTTAAATTTGGATTTGTATGTATAAATACCGAAATATGCTATATATGTGTGCATACATTTATGTTGTGCATATATGTGCCTGTGTGTGTATATATGCACACATTTATGTGCACCTCCACAGAGACATGCTGCATGGTGACACTGTTAACCAAGGAAAATTTTATCAAGGGCAGTAGGAATTAAATTTGCAATGAATTATTTCAAATAGGTATCAAAGTTTTGGACCAACCACAACGCATTATGGTTGCACTACACATTTCAGACTGATTCAAGACCTGCAGAATAAATGTGGTTTGTTGCAATATCTAAATGGCTGCTGATCTTCTCTTGTTCCTGTGCCATGTTGTGAACTGGTAAAGGAAAGTGTGATTTTCAGAGAACTGTAATTATTTGAATAAATGCTATTTCTCAAATAAAACAATGGGGGTTTTTTACAGAAAAAAAAAAACATCAAAACACCCTGAATCAATAAAAATGTTTTTTTAAAAAAAAGACTTCTGTCTGTCTTCCCATGTAAAAGCTCTTGAATAAACTGGTAAGTACTTACTTTCTGATCTGCTAAATGAAGTTAAATGAAACACAAGTATTTTATATATGGGCTTACAACAGTGGGAAGGTGAGAAGGCTGAAATTAAAATCTTAGTAAATCTCAGTTTCATCATTACCTTGTTGGGGTTGTACAACCATGATAGATGTAAAGCTGACATGTAAGCATATTTATATTGTTTTAACAGAATGCCTGTTTTCTATTTGTGTATATTTTTTTACTTTTATATTAGGATGGAGGAGAGAAGCAAGTGAAAACCCAAAGAAATATCCAAGCTGGATTCTCTTCGTTTGGGGTTTGGTTTTTTTCTTTCCTTTAGTTGAGCTGGATATTGTCTACTTTTTTAGAATTGTTTTTCAAAACAGATCTTTTTCTGAGGTACTCTTTTGGGCTGCCAGTTCAAAAGAGCAGTTAGACTAATAGGTTTTGTGCCTCAACTTTAGTTGAGGTTTTGATGTGTGGTCAGCTTCACCAGCTGAGATCTACAGAGTGTGTTCATGCAGACCTTACCTTTACTGTGTGACTTGGGCTTGAGATGCAATTTTTGCATTATAGGGTTTTGCAAATGCTATCTGAGAATCTGTCCAGTGGGGAAAGGATATCCCCAAGCACTTCTTCAGTTCATGGTGAAGGCTTGGTCATATCATTGCTTTTTGTTTTTTCATTGTGAGGAGCCCTGAGCTGTTCTGCCTTAGGCAAGTTGTTAGGATGCCTCCAGCTCTGTCTGCCAGAGGCAGCCCTGGGGTGCCTTCCACTGTCATGTTTTGGGGTAGTTTTAGACTGCTCTGGGGATACAGGTTTATAAGAGTAAAAGTTAGACGGATTTTCTCTCACTGCTATGATTCTTCTCTCCCCTGATACAGTGCTGGCAGAGTTTGTGTTCCTGTGAGTGCTGCCCATTTACACCAGCTCCACAGCTCAAGTTCCAGGGTAAGGAGTCTGGGAAAAAATTTACATGCTATGCTGGGGATGGTGGTGGTGCCTGCAGGAGTTACAAGGTAAGGGGTACATCTTTCACTGGCTGAGACACTTTGTTAGGAGCCTACCCTGTCATACCACCTTTCTGACTTTTGAAATCTGTTTTCCAGTGCATTCTGTTTCAGTGGGAGATAATCTATTACTGGATTTTGGTTGCATCCAAATTAGGACAACTTCAATTGTACTTGAGTCCAAATGGAAAGTGTATAAAAAATTTAAGAAAGAAGTATTGAGTCAAGTCCTCCTTGTAAGCATAGTATGCTCTAAAAAATAGTTTTGGTTTGGGCTACTTAAGGCAAATCTGTGGTTTCAATCAGTTACATTGGGAAACCTGAGCTATGTACACATGGGGTAGAAATAGACTTCCTTGATGGATGGATGGAAAGTATTCCATGTTAAATTGTTTGCAAAAATGCATACTAACTTGTAAAACTGAGCCTATGGTGACAAGGTTGCCTGGGAAGATTCAGAATTCTTGAATACAGTATTCCTGCTTCTGAACCACCAGAGAGAATCTCTGTGCTGTCAAAAAACCCACTATATGTCAAACTCCATATTTTTGAGACTAGATTGTTCTCTGTAAAAAGACAGGAAAGCCTAGCAAAGTTGTTTCAGTGGTTCACACAAAATTGGAGGTTGTACTGCTTTACTTGCAGCTTCACTGCAAATGGGATCCATCTGCAGCTCAGTTAAGGGGAAAAATAGTCCTGCTAGTTTAGTTCTTGCCAGTGCTTTAGCTCAACTGTCTAGTTATTGCCTTTGCTGAAATTTCTTTTAAAATATTCC